AGTTTCCAAGTTAAGCAAATCCCAAGGGGCACTGGTCTAATTAGAGTGACAGTTTTTAAAATTTCAGAGTTGTTTTTCTAAAGTAACATTTTTATTTTCATTTTAAATATTACCTCAGATGTATGAGGTAGCGTAATAACCGTTCTTCTGTATGTCGGATGTTCTCTTTATTAACACTTCTCTTCATTTCTTGTTTAACCGGTATAGAAAAAGTCCTTTGTCGTAGGAATGTCTGATGATTGGCTGGCATATCTCGTAAGTCATATATCACAACAAACATCTTCACCACAGTCTTATTGGGATTGAATAAGGTCTGAAGAAACAATGTAGAAAATTCTTTTTTAAAAATGGTGATTTGTTGATTTGACTCAAAATGGCTATACCAACAATAAAACAGAGTTTAGGGACTAAAGCTAATGAAATTGCAGAAGTTTGTGAACTGATATTCAATATTTTAAAAAAATGGTTCAATTTATATTTTTTATTTAAAAATAATATAAAATACTAAAACAAATTAAAAAATTTAGTCACTTTTTTATTAATAGACAATATATAACTTTTACTCCTTGTTCATATTTTAGTAAATTAAATCACTAGGTTATGCAAAATATACCCTCAATGGATTAAAACAACCCAATTCATTTATTTCAAACATTAGTTTCATTACAGTGTACCAACTGCAAATTTCTCAAAATACAATTTTAATTTTCCTCCTATTTTCATAGTGAGTAAATAGAATTTTTTTAAAAATAAAAGCTTGATAAAGGTAAACATTTTGGTGTTTTAAATACATACAGTTATTCTGAAATTTAAAATATGTTCTCAAAAAAGAGACTTTTTCTTATTTGAAATGCTTCCAAATTTAGAGAATAAAGTTCATTATTATTAGTTACTAAGTAAGCTAAATAAAACTTCATGTTCTCATAGTTAGGTTCATTTAAAAAACTGCAGTAACACTTTTTAAAATCATCAATATCATAAATAGACCAAAATATGTATCCTTAGTGAAGACTGAATTAAATTCAATTGACACTTAACTAGAAAAAATCAAAGGAATATTATTTTTTAAAATACTGATTTATAAACAAAATCCCAAGCTGCTGATCTGACTTTAACCAAATTACCAACACATCAATAGGTAACTTGGTGCCCATGCTTTCTGAAGCTCATCCGTGGCACTGGACATCACTCACTGAATCAAAATGAGAAATATATCAATATTATGATTCGATTTTTAAAAATTTAGTGAGTCTTAAGATTAAGGCTAATACATTCAACTAACTACACAACTAGCAAGCCGGGAGTTCAAACCATGTTTGTAAATAATCAAACTATGTAAGAAACTAAAGATATACCTAAATTTCATATTTAAATTTAACCATTAAAGTTGGCAGTCCTCAAACAATAGGCGACTGTGCTGCCTTTGTTGTTTATGCCTCATTATTATGACAACTGGCAGCCAGCTTTCCAGTGACTCACGCTTGCATATGCTCTATATAGCCAGAGGCAAGAAAACAGAGTATCATTCTTTTAAAGATTTGCATTCAACATAAATATTTTACTTTAATATGCAGTGATTCTTCCTTGATATTGCAATATATACACACACACATACATATTGCATAGTCCTGTTTCTTTCCTGTGTGATATGGAATAAACAAAGGAATAGACTCTTTGGCTGTAGTGGGACAAGGGTGATGAGTAAAAGTGGTCTGGTGAGCACCCATCCTACCGAAGCCAAAGGTCACAAAAAGGCTTGTTGAATTACAGCAGATCCTAAATGTGAGAAGCTCACTAGACTTTTTTAAAAAAAATTTTAATTTCAGCTTTATTGAGGTTTAATTGACAAATATCAAAGAGACTCTTTTTAGTCTGCAACAGCCAACTCTGTAATAAATAGACTCTGGGCTTTCAAGATGATTCTGAGTCTTGATTTGAACATGAACTCAGTGGCAGGTTGGGCCCTGACATCTAATCACCTAATTACTCTTATAAGAACCTCAGACCAAGGATGCGGAAGGACTGCTCTGGGCCGGAACAGTTCTCCTGGACCCAAACTAGATCCACACCTAGAATGAGAGGAAACATGCCTTCTCTGCCCCAGCCTCTGTCGGACTACATTCTCATTAAATCAATGTAGAAATTATTACCCTAGGGATATGAAATTTTGTACCCTAAGTTTTCCTGAGGGTCTAATATTTGGAGTCTCCTTTTGAATAGGTTGATCTCAATCTGGCTTACTATTTTAAATAGAAGGCACTGGTGATGCTAGGTTCTGATTATATTAAAATAGCCCTATTTAATTCATGTGAACTGTTGTATACTATTTTTTTTAATGCATTCACCTTGATTAGCTTATTAATGCTTTCCTTTTATGGAGGTCCCCAAATGCTCATTCCTGGGGCAGAGCAGGGAAACTCCAAACAAAGCTGCAGCCCACTGTTACTTACCAAAGTCGTTGCAGCAGCAGTAGCAGGAGAAAGGGCTAAGTTCTATATGTATGTGAGAGAATGATTATTGCAATTGTAGACTATAAAACACATACCACTTGTATTGTTCCTGAAGGAGGTACTCGATAACCCCTTTTACCAAGGGACTCTAAAGTAATCACACCCTTAAAATAAAAGAAGACAAAGTGAGTACAAACTGATGCATATGTAGACAAAAGACTACATATATAAAATAATAACAAATACTGTAATTACAAAAATTTCAGAATTCTATTTTATGGGAAAAATATTCACATTGCATTAACAGATAATTCTATAGTATGAAATAGTGAGAGTCCCACTAGTATGAAAACAATTTACTGTTCTTCTTGGAAATGTTGAAACAAATAAAATAAATAATAAACTAGAGGCCCGGTGCACAAAATTCATGTATGGGTACGGTCCCTAGGCCTGGCCTGTGATCAGGGCCATCTTCCCCAATTTCCCACAGCCGGCCCCACCTCCCACTGCCTACCCCCAATTCCCTGTTCTCCATCGGGTGATCAGTGCCTGATGGCTGAGGAAAGGGACCGGAAGTCGGCTGTTCCTGCCCAATCTTTAGCCCTGCCCACACCCTCTGCGTGTGGGGTGACTGGTGGGGTGAGGGCCTTGGCCTGGTGCTTCCCATGTCCCCCGCCACCCAACTTTGGATCTTTGTTTGCCATCAGGCAATCAGAGCCTGCTGGCCGGGGAAAGGGACTGAGCGGTGGTCAGTGAGCCTCATAGCGACTAGTCCAGCGGTTGTTCTGGTCATTCTGCTGTTGGGATCAATTTGCATATTACCCTTTTATTATATAGAATAACAAATATGCCAAATAAATAACAATTATACAACACCATACTGTTTGACATTTCTATTAAGATATCAGATATAAAAGTAAGAATTCCTTAACTAAAAATGATAAAGGGAGGGGATATAGGATTATTTCCTTGTATCATGTGAGAGGAGGGAAATGAAGCAAAATAATTTATTGATCTTTGGACATATAAAAAGTCAGGAATATGGAAGGATCTAAGTATTGGCCAAAAATGCTCTCAGTTCTTTAGTCATATGGATTAGAGACAGACCAGCATCATCATTATCACAAGTGAACTTGTTAGAAATGCAGAATTACTGGCTTCTTCTCAGACCTACCATTTTAACCAGATTTCTCAGATGATATCATGTACACATTCATGTACGAAAAGCACCGCTGTGCTAAATATAATAAAGTTTCCTGAGAAGGATGTTCTAATCATTGCAGCAGTCCTCAAATGGGAAAGGAGTACAAATTAATACATGGGACGCTCTGATTGAATGTGTAAAAATGTCCACATAACCAGGATAACCAAATGACAGGCAGTGACTCAGATACTTAATTCTCAGATGGTGTTAAGAGAAGAATGCTGATTCATTTGTTTGAACTGGGATAACAGTTTTCTTTTGAGTAGTTAAGTAGAATAATTGCATACTATCCATTGTATATCCCATCATTTTGTGTTGTGCATGCCAAAACATGGCAACCTTATGTAAAACTAAATATAAAACAGGACTGTCCCCTCAGGCAACATCCATGTGTTTGACAGACTGGCCAAGGTGAGGCAGGGAGGGATGAAGGTAAAAGGAAAAAACAGACTCCAATATGGAAATATCACAACTCCAAGTGAACAGCACTTGATATCAGACAGTTAACATGTTAATATTGGGAAATGTTCATGAAAAGGGGCACTGAGGAACACGTGGTTCTTGACAAATGTGATTTATCATATGGCTATCTGAAAACACAAAAACAAGAGTATCAACAAACTGCATCCCTAACCAAAACAGCAATGAAGCTTTAAACACGTTCTCTCTTACAATCAGCTCTATATGAAAAATGCCACAGCATCTTCTTCCTAGTTCCAGGGGAAAACAGTAAAAAAATATATAAATACTAGCCACCTATATAATCACATTGCTACAGGTAATACATTACTGTTCTTCGATGCCACCATACCTTAAATAACTAAAGGAAAACTACTATCAAGCCTGTATTTACTTCTTTTAATGCAATTGTAATAGTTTTAGGACATAACAATAACAAGATTAATTTATAAAGAAATAATACAGATTATTTTTTCATTTTGAGAGTAAGTTGATTAAAGCTGGGGGACAGGGAAACAAGGAAGGGCTTAGAATAGAAGCAACGAAGAGGACCTTGGAGACAGGTTCAGCCCAAGACGAGCAGCCATTGCCCAGGGCTCCCCTAGTTGCAGGTTTTGTAGGAACCCGGCTTAGAGTTTAAGAGATATAAGCCAAAGAGGAAAAACGGAGGGAAGCGAAAGGCACAGGCATGCTTCCGGGAGGGAGAAGCATGCCAAGAATATAGAATTAAAACACACACACACACACACACACACACACACACACACACACGCACTTCAGATTTAAAGCAACAATTCACAATTTTTCTTTTTTTAAAATATTTTTTCAGGCAGAGGCAGGGGAAGAGAGAGAGAAACATTGATAGGCTTCCTCCTGCACGACCCCTCCAGAGATCCAGCCACAACCAGGGCCTGTGCCCTGACTGGGGATTGAATGGCAACCTTTCCGTGCATGGGATGGTGCCCAACCAACTGAGCCACACTGGCCAGGACAACACGTTACAATTTCTAAGCCAGCATGGCGTTGGCAAGTTAGGAATTAGAAAGAAATGGAGAAATTATTTGGAATTCTATTATTATAATTATTTATTTTAATTGGTTAGCATATCAATATTTCTATGTAGAAAAAGTGGCTGGACTTCTGGCATTTTAGGATGGAATAGAAAGGTTAAGATAAATGAACTGGGTCAAATCTTATACAAAAACTTATTCTCAAATTATTGTCTAATAGAAAATATATAAATCTTAAGTAAAACAGAAATAAGTTTATCTTAATTTGGTTACTTACAAATAGGAGAAAATAACATATGACCCTGTTAATATGATGATAATATAAGTTATAACATGAATTTGGTACTGGCACACCTGCTCTAGACCTTTCTGCTGGGTTCCACCAAGCAACAGTTTCTAAACTGTGAAGAGCTGTCCTATGATACAACACTCAAAGAACATTTTTACCACTGACACCAACTGGAGAGAGATATTACATAGCTTTGAGTTAATTTTTAAGGAATTATTTAATGAAAAGTCCAGTACCACTTCTAAACCATAAAGGCACAAATTTCTGGGCCAAACATTTATCTTTGTGAGTCATTTGTGTAATTTGTAATGTGAGGCCCAAGGTTATTAAAGTAACAAAAAGGAGTTTGGTGTTCAGCTCTGTTGATCGGTTATATGTATTATCTTATCAAAACATAATCAATACTTTAAAAACAGATGGAATTACCAATTCCCTGAAGAACAAGATTAGTTTTATTAATTTACAGTAGGAAGATGTGATCTAAGATTTGGACTGCATCATTTCTACAAAGGAAACCCAATTCTAATGAGTAATCTGACAAAAAAAATTACACAATGGAAAGTTTATTGAAGAATATTATCAGAAAAAAGTAAATCAAAAATCTTTTAGACTAACTCAACCTGATTTAAACACTAAGAATCTGTAATCATTTATGTGTACTTTTATTATTTTTTTTTACTGTTTAAAGTATTACATATAGTAGAACATGTCTCTTCTTTTTCCCATTTGACCTTCCCCCAGCCTCCCTGTGAGTACTTTTTAAAGACAGAAATCTCTTAATCCTTTATCTCTTAATTCTTCATTTTTTAGATATCAAAGGCCAAGGATTAATGCTGTTTTGCTTCTTTAAAGCATATTTCAATTGACCTCTTGCTCATGAATTTCACTCAAATATATTTATTTGAGCCAATTTTTAGCCAATTCACTCTTTTATCTTATTTCTCAGCCATCCTAATAGTTATCAGGACTTTGTGCCCCAATGACAGATTCAGTATTTTAGACCTTATCTTTCAATTCTCTGTCACTATGTGTCAGTAGAATATGCTAAACCTAAGAGACGTCTTGATATCCAGGTAAAGCAGAAGGAACATTGTCACAATTATATTATAATATTATAAGCATTCCAGTATGATGAACTTTTACCCTGATATTGACTTTATCTCAATGTTACTTTCCATAATATTAATTATCCCAAATTATGAGTTAATTTCTTTAAAATTATACTGGAAAAGTAGATACCTGTTTCTAGAGTAAATGACTAAAAAGTGGCTTATGGGATAACAGGTAGGTTTATCAAGGAGCGGGCCTCGTTTTTCCTAATAACCAATGTTGTGCATCATTCTGGTTATGACCCACAAGTGTAAATATTATTGGAAAAGAAAACTGAATAAATAGGCAGATATGTGGATCAGAGTCTTGACTAAAATTTTCACCCTTAGAATGGAATAAAGCTTCATTAAGCCAATAGTGAGTAGGCTATATTTAGGTTCCTTTAAAGAAAAAAAAAGCGAAACTTCCCTTCCTCTGTTATTTCTTGTTTATGTAGAATTCCCTTTTCACAACTTTTATTAATAACAAAAGACACTGTTATTAATGTGCTTGAAAATCTAAAAGATGGGGGAGAGGAAACAAATGAGCCAGGTGGTAGCGAGGACATTTGAGGGGCAAGACCAGAGCTGTATATTTCTATGCCTATGGCAATGTATAGTTCTCAAAGGAAGACCAAACTGAAAACCAGCTCTGACTCCTTATGTGACACCATCTCTGTAAACTTGTATGGACTTGCATTGCTTCTCACTCTCTGTGTTTTGGGAAAGGGCTGATACTAATCATACTCCAGGATTTGGTATCATTTCTGCAGTTGAAGGCTTAGTTTATGCTCAACTCACTGGAATAAAAAATGGGAAAAATGAAATCACAGGGCTGGAAGGCTCAATACTCTGCCCTAATTCCTCTTTGCTATCTTACTCTCCAGTAAAACATTAGCACTTAGTCAGAATAACTAATATTCTAAAGGACCTTAGGATTAGAATGAAATGGTCCAAAGACAAGCCAGATGGGACAAAGTGGGTAACAGGGCCTTGCAGAAGCCTTAGGTTACCATGCCTTTCCCTAAACTCTACTGAGATGAGGATTAGTAGTTGCCAACATGTGAAGGCAACCCTTGTGGGAGCAGTGTGCACAGTAAGCACTTGAGAGTTTGTGTGAACTCAGCAAGACATGGGGTGATGATGTCACTAATCAAATTTTTATCTTTTTTTTCCAAGCACATAGAAACAAGTAAAATGTCAGCACCACTGTCAAATGCAAAAGAAGATATCTATTACTGGAGCTAGCTCAGAAAGAAGTCGTGAGGTAACATGTTGGCTGGTATATTAATTAGTCTCTATTCAGCCTTCAATTTTCTCATAGAAAAGACTTTATATTTTCAACCATTGCACCAAAGCAGTCTTCAGTCTCTTTAAACTTAAAGACATCTGTCACTAAGTTGGTAAATTTTAGCAGAAAAAGGCAATTTAAAAAATACTTGCCATGTAAGGAGAGGGAGCATTGTCATCGGAGACACTGTAGAATGACACTTCTACCGGAAGCAGCAAATGGGTGGGGCAGAAAACTCCACTGGCCCCTACCTCGGCCGTAAAACCGTCAACAATGCCAAGAGGATCTAAGCGATAGTTCAAGACAGATTCCTAGAAGACAAAATAATTCTTAAGATATACATTTTAAAAGTTAACACAACACATTCATTTTGTCTTCTACTTAAAGAAATACATTATTGTGCCTTCTGGCACTGGAAACATGGTTGCTACCATTGCCATGCCCTCGTTTCTAATGTTCATCTGACCTGAAATTAACCCCTCTCATCGATCTTCTACCATCCTATCAAGTTTGCCTCCTCTCACTATTCCAACCCATGCTGAACTATCCTTGAATTTTACCATTAGTTAGACCTAACTGTTCAATATGTTATTCTTATTTCTATAAATAAACAAACAAAAAGTCTACCAGAGTAGGAATGATATCAGAAATTTTGTTAATCCTCACAGAACCCTTCTCTCTTCTTCCCTCTCTCTCTCTAAAAACAACAAAAGCTACAGTACAAAAGCACTACATACACACTAGAATGGCTAATATAGAAAAACTGACCATTGAAATACCATATGATTTCACCTACTTGTGGAATCTAAAGAATAAAATTAATGAACAAACAAAATAAGTAGACTCATAGATACAGAGAACAGACTGATAGTAGCCAGAGGAGAGGGAAGTTGGGGGATGGATGGAAAAAGTGAAGGGATTAGAAGTACAAATGGGTAGTTAAAAAGAGTCACAGGAAGATAATATACAGCATAGGAAATGTAGTCAATAATACTGTAATAACATGTATGGTGTCAGGTGGGAACTGGAAATATTGGAGGAACACTTTGTAAAGAATGTGTCAAATGACTATGCTACACACTTGCAACTAAGAATAATATTGAATGTGAATTGTAATTGAAAAATAAAGTAAAAGGACATAAGAGCATTTCATGGAACACAAGTGTAGGAAATACAGTTTGGCCTTAAGGAAACTCATTTAAACACAGCCTTGGATGTTTAAAAAATCACAATAACAAAAAATACCTCCACTGGCATGGATGTGGAGGAACTAGAATTGTCATACATTGCTGGTAGGAATTAAAAATAGTATAGCTATTTTGGAAAACAGTTTGGCAGTTTTTTTAAAAGTTAAACATACACCTATCATACTATCCAGACATTCCATTTTTAGGTAGTTACCAAAGCAAAATGAAAATTTATGTTAGCACAAAAATGTGAACATTCACAGCAGCTTTATCTGTGATAACCGAAAACTGGAAACGGCCCAAATGTCTATAGTTGCGTGCACCAATAAGCATGCTGTGCTATTCCCATATAATAGCAAGGAAAAGGGATCAACGCTTGATGCAAGGACAATATGGATAACTAATAATGGTCAATACAAGAACCCGCTGACCTCCTCCACCCCAAAAGCAAATGGTGAGTGAATCTATTGTATTTATATAAAATTTTAGAAAATGCAAGGTGGTTTTTTTTTTTAATATATTTTATTGATTTTGTACAGAGAGGAAGGGAGAGAGATAGAGAGTTAGAAACATCGATGACAGTGAGTCATCGATCAGCCGCCTCTTGCACACCCACTACTGGGGATATGCCCGCAACCAAGGTACATGCCCTTGACCAGAATCGAACCCGGGACCTTTCAGTCTCCAAGCCGACGCTCTATCCATTGAGCCAAACCGGTCTTGGCGCAAGGTGTTTTTTTTACAGTGATAGAAATTCCTGGAATTTCCTCGTGTAGAAAAAAACAACCACCTATTTGCAACAGTTGTCAGTATTGTGCTGGACTGAATTGATGGAAGAGATTCTCAGGACAGATGACTGGAATGGATAAGTCAAGGTTTTTGGACTAAAAAACTTTTTATTTTATTTTATTTTATTAATTGCTGTACTTATTTTGGGGTAGAAAACTTTAATCAAAAAAATTTTTGCTAATAAAGTTGTATGTGTTCTTATATATTTTGGATATCAGCCCCTTATCAGATAGAACATTCTAAATGGTAGCAAGAAAAAAAAAAAAAAAAAAAAAAAAAAAAAAAAAAAAAAAAAAAAAAAAAACAACAACAAAAAACTAGCCTCAGAAATAAATAGTCTTTTACTTGGGTATTATTCTGAGTCAATGTGTTTCTAGACTCCACCTAAAGCCCCACAAATAATTTAAAAACATCCAGATTCCCCTCAACAACTTTGCCGGGTAAGGCTTTGCCCCGTTTCATGAAACAAGACCAATGTGTCAGTTCAGTAATTCACCTATCCTCTCCCTCTTTTAAAAATTGGCATACCAGAAACCGGTTTGGCTCAGGGGATAGAGCAAAGGGCATGTACATTGGTTGCAGGCACATGCCCGGTGGGGGGTGTGCAGGAGGCAGCTGGTCGATGGTTCTCTCTCATCGATGTTTCTAGCTCTCTATCCCTCTCCCTACCTCTCTGTAAAAAAAAAAAATCAATAAAAAAATATATTTTAAAAATTGGCATATAGAGTCAAATGCACTAGGAAAAAAATATCATCAGTGATTTACTGGAGAGAGCACCTAATTCATTATAAATTAAAGAGGACCTATTAGTTGGACAGTTTCAGAATTTCTCTATTTTTCTCCTTAAGTCATGTGAAAATATACACATTATCTGCACAGAATTGTGTGAAAACAACAGTTAAAAACAGTTTTTTAATCATCTTCTCTTTCTTAAGGTTTTCACATATCAAAACTCTCTTGTCTCTCTCATAAATGTTCTTGGATTACTGTACAAAGATTGCAAAGGAACTGAGCCTCACAATTACCTTATGTAATTTTCAAATGACAAAGAAAAATAGTGAGATCAATACCTCTGAACTGATGTCTTGGTCAGTGACATGGAAAAGAGATCAATCCACTTACCATAAAACATATTTTCTGTTGTTGCTACTAAGACTTTGAAAGATAGCCTCCATATTAAAAAATTATCTTGAATAAAGCAATATATCAAAGCATAACTCTGATAAGCGATTTAAAACTACAAATATCAAGTTATTTTGCCATAAAAATTCATCAATTAAAGTAACATTTAAAATGTCATTAACAGGTTCATGTTTAAGGTGGTTTTCTATATAATTATACAGAGAAATTGCAAATCTAGTACAAAGAACCATCATATTTTAAAAGCCAACCTCACTGGTCATGAAGGGGTTGCTATCAGTTCACCGTCATCCCTCCAGGGTCCCAGAGCCAAGTGCATCAGCCAAGAAGGTGAGTCAGTCTATCCTGCAGCTAGAGTCACAGATACCTCCATCCAACCCGATTGCATCAAAGTCCTCTGTCTGCTCTACAAGCTACCCGATTCTAAGATGTCACAGCTAACAATTCTCTCAAATCCACTTCTGAAAAGGAAAGGAAAGAGGGGAACGGGGGATAAGGAGGGGATGCGGGGAGAAGAAAGGTGATTTCCAGGCTTTGGAAATATGCAACCCATTTGTTATTTCCCTTTCATAAACAAATGACATAAATTATACCCTGGATCTAGCTTAAGAAACTTACAACTCTTAAAATAGTGTCAAAAAAACCACAACATTACCTCAAAATTTCCTAGGAGACTAAGACTTGTTATAGGTGGAGCACTAGAACTCAGAAACGGTTTTTCATGAATTTCTGGGTCGCCTTCAATATTTAAACAGGGTCGAGGACTAATAAAAAGAAAGAAAAAACAACAAATGGACATATTAACCATAATATTTTCTAATTTACTTTTGCATTAAATTAAGATATAATTAATTTTACTTAAACTACCATAATAAAAATTAATTTAACCAAATTTAAGATGTTAAATATCTAGCTTAACATTTTTTAAAAATAAATTTTTATTGATTTTTCACAGAGAGGAAGAGAGAAGGATAGAGAGTTAGAAACATCCATGAGAGAGAATCATCCATCAGCTGCCTCTTGCACACCCCTAGTGGGGATATGCCTGCAACCAAGGTACATGCCTTTGATCGGAATCGAACCCGGGACCTTTCAGTCTGCAGGCCCAACGCTCTAGCCACTGAGCCAAACCGGTCTCGGCTAGCTTAACATTCTTGATTAAATTTTGTAATCATTGTTATAATATTTGATAAAGAATATATATAATATCCTGGGAGTTTTCATAGTGGAATTTATAACATGTCATGTAGTGGCATCTGCTGGAGATATATAATAATGCAGTCTCCTGTATCAGTCTTTGTTTTCAGGGAGAAATGAGAATACAAATGCAAAATTATGTGACTAAAGAATGACGGTATTAAATGTCAACTTGGAACAAATGCTGAGGCTCTTTTGCAAATGAGGGTAGGGCAAAAGAGAATCTGAATGACTGGAAAAACACACACCCAGTTAAATATTAAAAACAATGTTAAAATTTTGTTTATGTAGTATTAATTTCTCCCTAACTCATCCTTAATAACTGTATGTGTAAAATCACATTGAAAATGATAACCAATTGAAAAATAAGATTTGTTAAATTTGTGATTTTTAGAGCCAACATTATTTATTGTAAAAGGTCAGAATTTTGCATAATACTATTTCATATACACAGGTGAATTTTAAGGTAAATACCTTCTAGATGATAAGCTTTTCAGATGCGGTAATGAAGAATCCAGATCAAAGCAACCTGATTGTGTCTTTCTTTGAGGAACCTAAGGCCAAAGTAATCATTTGTGAAATTAAAAAAAAAACACACTATAATTTTTTCTTTAATTGACAATACTTAACAAATGAAAACTAACTGTATCTTAAAAATAATAAACGTTCTCCACAAATAGCTTACATAAAATCACATTCTTTATTGTTTTTATATTCTTATTTTATTAACTAATATGGGGAAAATGGGATTAATAAAAGCACTTTTATGAGGCTTTTATTATTTTTTAAGAAGCAGAACCAGTTTTTTCTAAAACCAAACCCTACATGGAATCCCAATATAATTATAAGATGTTTTTATTTTACATCTGTATTCTGGGAGCAGAAATAAAAGATTTATAGTTTTAAAATAAAAAGGAAAAGAATTAAATGGCGATGGGAGCCTGGGGTGGGCCAGCTGTGTTGCTCCTTTGTCCATCCCCACCACGCTGCACATTTCCAAGAACCCTGGGGCCTCCATAGCCAATAGATTTGAAAAACACTTCACTTTGCGGTTTGAAGCATCATTGTCTACCAGATTACATTTAGCACAAACCACCACCTAGATCAAAATATCCTAAAAGTGAAAGACCCACGTGTACACTAAGAGTAAAATTATGTACAACCTGCAAGTTAGACAGATATTTCTAGAATTAATATTAAGTATATACAAGTATCCAAGTGATCAGTCTAATTGGTGACTAAAAAACCAGATGACTCTGAAAATTTAAACAACTTAAATATTTAAAAAATGTGCATAATCTTATATAACGTCATTTTAAAATATACTTTATTGATTTCAGAGAGGAAGGGAGGAGTGAGATATAGAAACATCAATAATGAGAATCATGGCTTGGCTTCCTCCTGCACGCCCCCTACTGGGGATCGAACCCCCAACTCAGGCATATGCCCTTGACTGGAATCGACCAGGGATCCTTCAGTCCACAGGCCTACACTCTATTCACTGAGCCAAATCGGCAGGGCCAACCTCAATATTTTTGAGAGTTGTGCAAGTACACCAGGCAATTTTTTCTGTAGTCAGCACTTAATGTGAAAATTTCAATCTAAACTCTTATGCTTCAATTCTGGAAAAGTTTCTATCTTTATTTCTTCTAATACTGCATTTTCCTTATTTTATCTAGCCTTCCTTTTAGAATTTCTACTAGACTTATATTGAACATCTCATTTTATCCCCCATGCTCTCATGTTACCATCTCTCTTCCTTTCTATGCATCATTCTAAGTGCTTTCTTTTGTTTTTCCCCCTCTAAGTGCTTGCTTTCTTTCTTTCTTTCTTTCTTTCTTTCTTTCTTTCTTTCTTTCTTTCTTTTTTTTTTTAATATATTTTATTGATTTTTGTACAGAGAGGAAGGGAGAGAGATAGAGAGTTAGAAACATCGATGAGAGAGAGTCATGGATCAGCTGCCTCTTGCACACCCCCCACTGGGGATATGCCCGCAACCAAGGTACATGCCCTTGACCGGAATCGAACCCGGGCCCTTCAGTCCCCAAGCCGACGCTCTATCCATTGAGCCAAACCGGTTTCAGCCTAAGTGCTTTCTTAATATCTGTCTAATCCATTCACTAAATTTCTATTCAACTCATCCTAATCCACTATTTAATCCACCTGTATGTGTATATACACTTGTGTATACTTCAATTATAATAGTTCTTAATATTTATAATTTGTGTTTAGTTCTCTTTCAAATCCACTTCTTCTTTCATCTTAACACCTGTCTTTATCATTGTTTATATCTTAGAATATTTTAAACAATTACTCTCTTTTCAGGTTGCTCTGATAGCAGGATTCCTAAATGTGAATTCTCTCATTTCTTGCACCTTCTGATTCTTTTAAGGTGCTCTGTATAGATTTATATATCTGTATCTTTATACACACACACACACACACACACACACACACACACACACAATGTTTTTCCTCTGAGATAATCTTCAGCAAGAGTTATTTTCCATGCCGAAACCGGTTTGGCTCAGTGGATAGAGCGTCAGTCTGCGGACTGAAAGGTCCCAGGTTCGATTCCAGTCAGGGGCATGTACATTGGTTGCGAGCACATCCCCAGTTGGGGGTGTGCAGGAGGCAGCTGGTCAATGATTCTCTCTCATTGACATTTCTAGCTCTCTATCTCTCTCCCTTTCTCTCTGTTAAAAATCAATAAAAAATATATATATATTTTAAAAAGAGTTATTTTCCAGGAAAATAAATTCTTGGTGCTATGGGATATAGATGTGGAATAGTTTCATGTTTCTTCTGCTAGGACTCAATGGACTTTACAAGTTTCAATTTAGTCTATGGTTATTTCTTGGCTAGATGTTTCTGAACCTCATAGACAGCACAAATTCAGAACTACCATGAGTGGCTTAGGTTTAAGTCAAAATTCTTTTGGGGGATTATTTCCCCACCCGCTATACACCTCGCTGTTGCACCCTTAAATAAGCAGGTGATTTCCCCCCTCCTCTCCCAGTTCTAGAAGGGTAGTTCTCCCCTCCTTCTAGTTTTATGAGGAGTTTGGCTTTTAGGACCCAGCTATGACCGGAGCAGACTTGCTGCCTGACTCCTGTCCCAGGAAGGCCATTAAACCCTAGCACTGTCTTCAGTTCAGATATCCGAGAGGCCCAGGATTTTTTCCAACTTAGTATTCAGAGGTGTACCTTTCTTGCTGTTACACTATATTATGTATGTGCAAGTTGTGTTGTCTTATCCAGGATTTCTGTGTTTGGGAAGGAGGAGGAGGTCCTCCTGTGTCAACTCTCAGTGCACCATACTGAATGAAGTCTATAGTGCCTTTTACACCAGAGTGATGCTGATAAATGACTTGCAAACATTTTAGATACTTTCAATTTCTAAATAGGAGATCAAAGGAAAATACTTACAGGACTTGAAAGAAGAGGCAATCCAGTCCGAGGATGAAAGGCTCTGGTTAGGGTTCCATCCAAAGAATGAAAATTATGTTTCTGCCAGACACCTGAATGTTTCAGTGGTATAGTTTTCTGCTAGGAAAAGAATTAAATTTCAATGGTGATTTTTTAAATGTTAGACTCCTTTCTAATATGTATTGATGTATTTAAATCCTTGGTGATGAAGTTAATGATTTATATATCTGTATCTTTACACACACACACACACACACACACACACACACACACACACACTTTAATCAGAAAACAATGTCCAAGCTTTTTCTAAGATGTTAAATGAATTCAAATATTTTAAAGAAAGTATGTTCAAATGCCTAATCAAAATATGGTCATATTTGTAAATACTCAGATTCTAGCATCTAGTAAGGTAATATTTGATTCTGTTTATTTGTGAAAAAACTACTCACAGGTAGGAAAAATAGTATACTATTCTAAAATATAAATCTATGTAGATATCAAGAGGCATTCTCAGAAGATATTAAGTTGGTGGAGCATGATACTGCAATATAATAAACATGAATTTTAAAATATATCTAACTCAGGCATAGTACCATGTTTTGAAGTGATACAGGAAATAGGCTAATTCTTAAGAATCTAGGTAAGTTTATATGCAAAGATCAAAAGCTCATAAAAACACATAAATAAACATCAGACAAGACTAATTTGAGTTCTAGTTCTACCATTTACTAGCTTTGTGATGTTGGGCAAATTTAACTTAATCTCTCCAGGCCTTGGGTTCTCATTTGTAAACTGGAGTTAATAATAGAACATGGCCTTGGCCAGGTAGCTCAGCTGGTTAGAGCATCGTCCCGATATGCCAAGGCTGCAGGTCTGTACGCCGACAGAATAGCTGATCAGGTTGCTCTGGTAGCAGGATTCCCAAATGTGAATTTTCCCATTTCTTGCACCTTCTGATTCTTTTAAGGTGCTCTGTAATGTTTTTCAGGTTGCTCTGATAAGTTAAAATAAATTTTATTTATGACTCCTATTTACTCTCCAGCAATTGTTCATACTATTGAAATAAAAAAGGGGCAACGGGAAGAATGTAGCTAGCATCTGCTCTTCAGTGAGTGGGTTATTTGCAAGAATATTAATACTAGTTCTGTAGCAGGTTTACTACATCAACTTGTATGTTCTATAGATAGTGAGCACCTTACACCTTATAACTAGACCTCCTGTAAAGAAAATCCATACCATAACAGATGTTTAAGAATTATAATTGAAATATTAGATATTACGTACCAACACCTCTGTATTTTTTAGTTGTTCACATGTAGACAAACAGCCATTTACACTTTTTCTCCGAGGACAGTTTTGCAATTTTTCATCAGTTGGATCTTCTTTCTTATCCTGTTCATTTTTTAATTGGTCTTGTCTTTTGCATTTGAAATCTTCCTTATCTTTACTGAGATAATTTTTAATACTAAGTTGCATATTTTGCTCAGATGTTGTAGGCCTTTTTGAGTCTTTATTTGACCACTTGTTCTCATGTTTGTTCAAATATCCAGACATTTCCAATGTAGTAACTTTTATTTTCGGGTCATTGTTTTTGAGCTTATCAAATTGGTGATTGTTAAAAGATTCTGGGTTACAATTTTCATTTTGAATTATTTTTTCCTTATTCTTACTTATGCTAATCTGTTTGTCAACACCGCTGCCATTTGAATACCGTTTATCAATTCCATTGCTAATTTCCTGCTCCTTAAATTGACACTCAGGAAGTGTATTTTCCAACCTGATCGTCAAAACCAACTTATCTTCTTTGCAAGGAGACATATTTGAGGGGGCCAATAAACTAGTGCCTGTGCTCTGTATCCCCTGACATGTACTCTGGATGTCTTCACTAGGATTGTCCTGATACAGATTTCTTCTCATCTGAGGTTTCGAAGAGGACTTGACTTTACTATTGCATTTAAAAGAACTAAAAGATTTAGTAGGTATTAAGTTTTCCCCTTCGCTGCCGTCTTCTAATAAGGAAAATTTTGTATTAGAAATGGAAACAGAGGCATCCTCCTTGTTTTTCTTCAGCAAATTTTTGTCTTCATATGAACTCCTGAAAACTTTAGAAGGAACCAGAGTAGAGTCGTGTGCATTGAAGGACTGCCGGGGTAAACGTGATGCTGCTGGGTCAATGTGCTCCAAGTGCTGAGCGATCCTCGCAATCACATCTTGCCGCTCCTGGAGTAAGGAGCCTATTAGAGGGTTAGTCTCACCAACAGGCCGGTGGGAATGAAGACCATTAGCAGTGCACGTTTCACCTCGAGGGATTTCTGGTTTTACTCGGATCTTCCCCGCGCCGGTGTCTTCTGAGGAGGTAAGCTCTGGACTACCAAAAGAAACTGAGAACGTTTCTTTACATTTCCTCACGTCTTCATTTTCTTGTGAAACCCGGAAAAGTTTCGAATTAAGTGAATTAGGCTCTTGAGTATTAAGTACATGTCCAGCAACGTGCGAACTGCTTGGGTCACAATGGATCAAATGCTGAGCAATTCTTGCAATAACTTCTTGTCGATCCTGAATTAAAGAGCATACTAGAGGATTAGTCTCACCAACTGACTGCCAGGAACTCTGGCGGCTGGGGACACTGGAATCGATCACTGAAAATGATTTTAAAGTCCTCACTGGTGTTTCATGCGATTTTTTATCTCCTGTACTGCTGAAGCCCACAATATTGGCTTGACAAGTTCCACAGTCAGACTTACTGCCAGGGCCCGGATACAGTTTGCCGTTTTTGACAGCTGTGGTGTATTCTGGAGGGGTGCCATGTTTTGCATGTAATACACTTTCAGGTGCCACGGTCCAGGTCTGCTTGCTACACACACGCTGTGAACTGTTTGTACTGCACTGCTCTGCTTCGTTAGAATTGTGGTGCTGATGAGCTTTAAGTTCATGTTCTTGAATTCTTTTCTCATAAAGGCCAATGTTAGTATGAATACTACACGTCAGAATTGGGTAATTAGATTGTCTGGGCAGGGACTGAACACTGACTTTCAAGGCCACATTGTGAGAAACGTTGGGAACAGGAAACACGTGTTCAATTGGAGTCTGTGAAAAATTCCACTGCAGGTCGACATCAGCAGCACTGATTCTAGAATCACACAGAAAAATATGGATTCGATAAGTTATAAAAATCATTACCAGATATTATTTAAAAATTTTAAACAGTCATATACTTATCTTTGTTTGCATAAATTACGATTGAGGTTTTGCTTTTAGCTACTTTGCCATGCATGTCAGTCTAATAAAACCAACATAAAAATATAGATTATACTTCATATAGAGATGATCTTCTTACTAGATTGACCACACAAGCATTAAAGCTCAAGAATATTATAATTTAAAATTACCTGTCAAAGCAGAAAAAAAAGGGGGGGGCTTTGTATTTACCACTAAATAATTAGATTCAGCTAGTTCTATTGTGCAAGGTGACTAAGAGATACTCATGGCCACCTGCCTAAGAGACAATTAGATACTTGTTCAGCAGTTTGTACATTTATAGTTATCAAAATGCCCCAAATTAAGAAAGCCTTCCATTATGGAAATTCAGCAGCCCTGAACGTTTTCCTGCTTTATTTATAATGGCAGCACAATCCAAGCATGAAAGTTCTCTGCAAACTATTCCACATCAACTATAACCCGAGAAACAAAATTCATGCTGACTCATACCAACATTTCTATAATATGTTTTGAGAAAAATGCCAGTAAATTTTATCTATTACTTAAATTAGAAATGAAGGGACTAAAATACTGAAAAGGTAAAATTCAGGAGCTAACTAGTGCAGCTGAATACACACGGCTCTTTTTGTGCCTACACGTACCTGTAAAGAATATTTCGTGGAATAGCACCATGAGAAACACTCAGCCAAGCACTTAATTGAGAAAAAAACACAAATGAGCGGACAGCCAATAGAAGGGTCTTCTCTTCAATAAATCGATCACCACTCCTAAGGGAAGTAAAAAAAAAAAATCATCTAAATGTCAGCAAGTACAAAATAACTGAGTTTCAGACAGAGAAAAGCTGAAATAAACACATGCCTCAGGATGTCTGCTTTCAAGAGCAGAGAAGTAGACTTACCAGTTGTCACTTAAAGTTGTACCTGTACTAAGTATCTACAGTGCTATCTGAACTAAACTTTACTACATAAATAGAGGGATTCGAAGAAAGTACGTATATATTATTAAAACAATGTACAGAACGTTGTGGGAAACCTGATTTACCAATAACAATCTGAAAGTTGTACAACTTACTGTCGAGGAACTGGCTCCAACACCCATCTTTCTAATAACAATGCGTCCTGCTTAATGGCAGGGTCATTGAGGTCCACGCCGTCCGAGGTGGGCCCCTCGTCGCTGTAGCAGCAGTCGGGCAGCAGCATCACCTCCACCATGATGGGAAGGCTGTTCTTCCACAGCAGCGCGACCTCGGACCTGGTTCGTCTGGCTTGGCGGCACTTAGGGAAAATGAATATAAGCCAAAGGTCTCTGTAAGCCCCACAAGTTTATATTTTACTTTGAAAATTATAATTGTAAAGAACATATCTGTATGTGAAATGTAGATTTGCCTATTTAGGTTTCCTCACTAAATAATGAATTCACACTTGCGAGCTCTATAGTTCAAGAATTAGTTTTGAACAACATTTATGATGCAAATTTCCTGGTTGGGGGTGGGGGTGGGGACATCTTTGCTCTTTCGTGAGGTGGCCCCCCACACTGCCTCGTTTGTTAATTACATCATTACTACAGAGGAAAGATTCATTCTAAGCGAAGTCTAAAATATTAAAAACTCATTTTCATTAAATGCTCAATATGTACAAGATTAAATATATACAATATATACCAGTTAAAAAATTTTGGACTATATTTAAGAAACTAACTGGGGAAAAAATCCTTATGGCAAATTAGACAGTACATACCAAAATAAATATTTCAACAATATTTTATCCCAAAACATTAATATGATAGCAAAATGCATCCTCCCATTAAAAAAAAAAAAAAAAGAAATATAGAAAATTGGTTAATGTGGATAAATTAATTATTAACATCAGAGCACTAAATAAATAAGAACATAAAGTCAATGAGCCAGGGCTGAGATTCTAAAATAAAGAAAGCTGAATCAGCAGCAAATATAATGTTAAACCTGGCGAGTGAGAAGGCAGGTCTGAAATCGGCCGCCCACCGCCTGCCGATCAGCAAAACTACTCAGTGCCTCCCAGAGCTTGTGTAAGAGCCAAGGTTGTTGGCTTTGGTCCAGGATTAGGATTTCTTCGTTATGTTTGTGACCGATTTTATATTTAAATGTGGGCATTGTAATTGCAGGGTAATAAAGATGATGACAGAATCTGTGTCGTTTATATAAAAGAAAAAGAAAAAGCACTCAACACATAGTTCTTACCTGGGCCAGCTTGTCACTGCATTCATGTTTGGTGGTTACTGGGTAACAGGACTGCGCTGGAGGGCAATGGAAACTTTCTGAACGACCTTTTACAGAACATTCAGGTGTTCGTCCTTCTGTTATTAACAAGGCCAAGGAGACCAAGAACTCCTCTGCATCGTACTCAAAATATTCATCCAGAGTATCTGGTATTTAAACAAAGAGAGAAAAGAACCCTTGCTTTAATGAACTCTCTTGGTAAGAACTCATCTTTTATGCCTAAAATAAATGTCACATTCCATACTCAAGTATATTCACTAACAAAGGACTGAAAAGAGAATAAAAATGAGGCAATTAAAATAAACTCTTGATTCACAAGGTACAAAGAGTCAGAGGATAATGCATAATTCAAAATTCCAGTGAAGACAAAACTGATAAAAATTATAGCATAAAATTAGTTTTATGCAAACTTCAGTTAAAATACCAAAGATTTAGGTATATCATTTTTTAATCCTATAGATAATTATATTTTTGGATGCCAAGTATAATAGTTTTCACACAAAACCCTTCAACACTTGCCAAAGGTTAAAATTATGTCACCTTTTAGGTTAAGATGCTTTATTACTATTATTAAATACTAGAGGCCTGATGCATGAATTTGTGCAAGGGCCTTGGCCCTGGCCCCTGCCCCCTGCTGCCATGGCCAGGGGCCTCTGCTATCTCTCCCTTGATACCCGCCTGCTCTGGCTTTGTTCAAAAGGAAGGATATCCGGAAGAATGTCCAGTCTAATTAGCATATTACCCTTTTATTATTATAGATTAGAAAAATATGCAGATCCAGATGCATGTCTCTTCTCCTTTCCTCCCTCCTCCCTTCCTTAACTAGTGCCTTATTTTCGTAGCCTTAATTCTGTGATGTGGACACTAGTCATGGGGACCTTCTCTGCCTTTCAAATAGTAGCAGTTTCAGAGGGAGAAATGCTGTAATTATCCAGCAGGCGATGCAGGCCCGAATTACTATACATAAATTGTGATGTTCTTTGGTTACTACACAGTTTCAAACAATCTAACCTACGGATATTTTCAGTAATTTTTCAATTTCTTACAAGTGTTCTAATTTTTAAAAACAGATTACTTTCAAAATTTCTAACCTGCTCCACAGGTTGAACACACATGCACATGTACACACATGTGCACACACAAAATTCAGTTTGTTGTGCAATCCAATTAAGCAACATATATTTTAGGTATGTACCTGCTACACTGTGTTAGGCCACAGGGGGACAGAGTGTTATGTTTTACATAGCTCTTAACCTAAAATGGTTTATAATTCAGAGATTATATTAAAGACAAAGAGAACACTGCAACTTTTAATATATTCCAAAGAAGTTCAGATAGTGGTAAAATTTTGCAAAAGAGGTAGTTGTTGAGCAGAACCATAAAAGATAAAGTGCAACTTGAGTGGAAAAATGTGGAAATGGGTTCTTAATCACCCCATACATGTCTTCATTCACTCTGGCTATACATTTTGTTTTTACATACTTTAATATTATGTTTGTAAAATTATAAATGAAAATAATATATATATACAAAATATATTTTAATAATACATTTTGGAATATTTATGGTATAGAATTAGTTTCTAGGAATAGTGCCCTAAATCTATATATATTAAAGGCTAATATGCAGTGTTCCCTTGGGAGTTCAACTGGGAGAATGGGAGTTTGATCGCTTGTTGTGACATGCGCTGACCACTAAGGGGCGACCAGTGTTGGCTGTGGGGCACTGAGGGAGCAAGGGAAGGAGGAGGCAGGGGTGCGGGAGCCAGGGAACGTGATTTGCAGGCCAGGCTTAGGGACCCTACCTATTCACAAATTTCGTGTGCTGGGCCTCTAGTATAATAATGTGCCAATGTGGGGAAAAAGGAGAGGTCTCGACTTTCAACTCTCCTCCAGGGCCCAATGAGGTCATACATAAATCAGGGTTTCCCTATGTTCTCCTAGGACTCACTAAGGTAAATCATGGTGTCCTTCAGAGGGGAGCAAAAGACATAAAAAAGATTCCATTCAGTCTTTTTCTCTGCTGGTTCTGCAGGTTTTCAAGGCCAGCTCAGGCTTACCATGGCCTACATGGCATGTTAGCTCCTGGAATATTTCTCTGGGCTCATCCTGGTCCCTCCCTCAGTTTACAGGATAATTCTGGGGAGCTAAGAACTGTGGTAGAGCAGTGGCTCCTGATCTATGGAATGCTAAGTGGCGCCTAACTGTCAGCTACTAAGGGTGGCCCACAAACTAACTGATGTCTCATATTTATGTGCTACTAAACAAACAAACAAAAAAAGTCTAGTATTTCTACTGCTGAGAGAAAACTTCCTGGTCAGATTAGGGAGGAGAGGAGGGCATGTGGAAAGGGGAGTATGCGAGAGTGTGTTTGTTATCTTTGGAGCTAACAGGACCCTTTCACTCATTATCCTTATGCCTGCAAGAGGCATATAATTCACCTCAAAGCACTAGCAGGAGCGGCTTACTTATACATCAGGAATCATCACATTTAAAGCAATAAAAACTGAATTATTATTATTAAAAAAAAACACTTTTGAATAATACATCTGACTAAAATTGGGTTATTTTGGTCATTATCTCCTCAGATAGTAAACTCCAAAACCAAGTTCTGAATTCCTTTGGATGACTTTTTGAACTTAGCCAGAGTAGTGAATATTTATATGAAGTATTTGAAACGAAGATTAGAGATGACAGTAGTTATCTATTAGTTAACTATGTGACTGTTACATAAGCATCACAAGGAACAGTATGAACTATACAATGGTATTATGAAACATAAAGTATTACCTACGTGCATGTGACTATGTGATGACAAGCTTTAGAAATTTGTCAGGAAAAAATTATGGGTGTCTGAATTTTAATTAATGAGAATATTAATCACTAGTCATTAGAAAAGTTGCACAGTTTAAATTTGATAATGTCAACATCTAAAATACCAGGGAGCAGAGTTTACTGTAGTAAAGAATATAAATAGCAACTGGGAAATATCAGGTCATGTTAAAGAAAACTCAATAGATATAATTTGATAATTTGATGATATTAAAGACAAATACAAAATAAGTTACTCCAGAAATTTTATGATTTCAGGACCTCTAAAATTAATTTACCTTTACAAAAACAAAAAGTATTTCAAATTTAGACAAATGTGGCTAGGCTTACCTACTAGTTATACATTTTACAAAAGGTAAGTGATTTGGAAACTATAACACTGAAGAAATCAGAAAGAATTTTATCATGTTTCACAGGCTATGAGAGAGAGACTATTGGAGATTGGAAAGTAACCAGACACAACCTAGTTCGGAGCCCCTCTTTTCCTCCAAGACCGCCATGAGGACTGGGGTTACACCACAGTCTGGCTGAGAAATGTGACTGGACTTGCTGCTTTTTAGTGACATGCTCGCCTGGCTCTGGAGTTTACCCATATTCTTAAAGTTTGTCATCTTTTCTGTCCAACAAAAAAAGGTGAACAATTTGGCCACTGGAAAAATTCTGAACAATCAGAGCGGATCCAGAGACGAATCCACTAACTTGAGAAGTAAATTCTTCATCACAGGGTTCAAGGACAGACTGATAAACAATTGTCAGGGCTGTCACTGAGGGGATTGAAAATGTTTATACCAGTTTTAAAAAATGGAATAAACTTAAATGTCCAATAATATAAGACTGGCTCAATATACTGTTGTATATATCCAAAATAAATCTACTTTTGACAAGTTAAAGGTATCTACAGTGTAAGTGAAAACACAATGTTTCATAAGAACGTTATGATTATGTGTTCGTGGGATACATATGCATACATGCATTGAAAGATACACATACTAACAAACTATTATCAGTCCTATAAAGCAAACACACAAACATTAAACTACCTTTTATTATTATTATTTTTAAATTGGTTTTAGAGAGAGAAGGGAGACAGAGAGAAACATTGATGTGAGAAACATTGACATGTGTCCTGACAGGGAACAGAACCTGAAACCTTTAGGTGTATGGGACAATGTTCCAACCAACTGAATCACATCCTCCAGGGCCATAAACTAAATTTGAAATAAATTACTATTCTCTGACTAGAATTAGATAAATGATAAGGCCTATTAGTTGAAAAGTAACATATAAATGAAAGCACTATCTAGTGTCATACACTTTAGTTATTGTTTTGTAGAACCCCTACTATGTAGGTCATAGTTTGGTTACCTAACATAGGAATTTGTGACCTTCCTCTTTCCTCTTGGAGCTTGTGGATGCCTGCTGGGAACAGGGCTTGTAAAACAACGGAGTGTGTAGAAGGCTGTGGTCCAAGGCCATTTTTGCTGGCTGTAAGTGGGGTCTCTAGAACCAGGGGGAGCACACAGCTCTTCTTAAAACTGAAGGTGTTTATCAGATCATCACCAGATAACGTGACCTCTGCAGACATCCATGGACATCTGACCAGAGCAGCCTGGAACTCAGTCACACAGTGTCCCACCACCACCGTGGTCCATGAATACTGTAATTTTCACTGCCATTCCACTCACCATTAATGAGTAGTAACCCATTGAGCCACCACCCATTAGGTAATAAATATATGGGAAAGTCAATTTTATTTAAATCTCACAAACTCAGAAAGAGATTAAATGTAACTGAAGAACTCTTCACTGTTGAGTGATGTACTACTAAATGAAAAATACTACAGCAGTAATAAAAAGCCAGCTGGTTTAATGTAGTCTTTACATGCAAAGATACAGATAAAATAAAGATATGATTAAGAAATGTAAACAAAAACAAAAACAAAAACAAAAAACCCAAAAAAACCCCAAAAACTGAAGGTGTTTAGAAATAAGCCAGTCAGAAAAAGACAAATACCATATGATCTCACTTACATGTGGAGACTAATGAACAAAATAAACTGATGAACCAAACAGGAACAGAAGCATGGATAGGAGAAATGGAACAGACCCGCAGCGGTCAGAGGGGGAGGGGGTACTTGATGAAGGGATTAACCAAAGAACATATAGCATGACCCATAGACACAGACAAAAGTGTGGTGTTGGCCAGAGGGAAGGGGCGGGGGCAAGGGATGGGTGGAGGCGGGCAGAGCAGGAGGTGGGGGTTGGGAACATCTATAATAGTGTAAAGAATGAAAAAAAAAAAAAAAACCAGAAAAA